AATTATTTTTCTGATACAAATGATTTCTCATTTCATATTAGTCGTTTTCTTTTTTCATTCATGTTGGTTTTCTGCCAATTTTGCACACGTGGCACAGAAAGGAAAGAATCTTTTGCATAACTCTCAATTACTAAGATGAGTTTCCTTCTTTCTATTTTTACTTTAATGAAGTTTTTTTGCTGTTAATTCTTCTTTCTTACATTAAATTCTTATTGTTCGCAGGAACAGAACGACCAACACATTATTTAAAAAAACAAAAAATGACATACATACAATTACATGTATGTTGCATTGGTTTATACAGATGACTGCAGTCTGAGTGCTGAGTCATGTTCAAGTTCATTTTTGCCCACGACTAAAGCTGGCTGTCCGGCCCTCCTGTGGAGGGACTTTGTGGGAGGCAGTTTAATGTGAGTCCCTGTCACATTCACACAGCCACCAATTAGTATAAAAGCCCAGTGAATCTTCTCCCTTCACCTTGTGACCGTGAAGTTTTAGGATTTTAGGAATAATGGTCTTGAAAAGCAGCCAGTAGTTTCTACAGTGTAATCCTTCAGAGTAAATGAACCCAGAGCAGATGATGACACCATGTCTCTGGAACCTCTCCATCCCCTGTCTGTGTGCTAATGATAATTAAGGCAAAAGTTTTGTTTTTTTTAAATATCATACGTTTGGATACGCTCTCTGCTGCTTTCACACGCTGTTAAAGAACTCAGTGTAAAAGAAACAACAAGGACGTGTGATTCTTCCTTCATCCACCCGACATATTTTCATGATGTTTCCTTTTAGCTCTCACCCTGTCCTGCCTATGTTTTTTCCCTCTATATTTTTCCAAAGTCTCTCATCTGACAGCCACCAATGAGGACCTCAGCCTTTTGCCTTCAGCTGTGTTTTGTGCAGCAGGGACATTTCCACATTTCTCTTCATGCTCATGAATGTCTTCATGTCTTCTGGTGAATCATTACAGCGTGTTTACTCCATTGTCACAAAGAGATATTGATTTTTTCCCCCCTACGCTGGTGTTTGTGAGAGACAATATCTGACCTTAACTGATGATATTTCTCAATAGGTGTCATGTCTGCAACCAAATCTAATCTGTGGTAGTTTTCTTTGAGAAAAAAAAAATGAAACATTGATGGTGTCAGTGACAGCTCGCTTCATTTGCTATAGGAATGAGAAATAAAACCATCAAGCTGGAAAAAGAACATATTGTCTGATACCACCTATCTGGTGTGGAAAGATGTGGGCCGCACTGATAAATTGGCATCTCATGTGGAAACCTGGTCCAGGAGGGGGAAAAAAATGAAGCAACAGTTGGAAATGTAATATTTAATTGTTAGTTTTCATTTTCAGTTAGCCGACATAGAGTCAGCCCGTGAACAGGTGAGGTAAATATTTGTTAAAGGCCAGTCAAACATGAGTTTTGCTGTAACTGGAAGATTTCTATCACATTCCCAACAAAAGTGCTGCAGTAAAACTCCACTGATGGATTTATGTGTTTGTTCATAGACTTTGTTAAACGTCAGAATTGAACAATTGCAGCAGTGTCAGCGTTGTGACTGACTTCCTGTGTTATGAAGATGGCATGGAGTGTTTTTTTTTTTGTTGGAAAAGCTCCAGATAACTGTACTGGTCTCTGAGAGCTGCCCACGACAGCGCTGCTATGATCAGCACCAGCAGGACTGGTGAAGTTTGAGGGAAAAGTAGGACAAATGCAAACGCAAACTTTTTGTAGTAGAATTTTTCTCTACAAACTCACAGGGCTCACAATCACCCTGCTTCAACTAGTTTCAGACGTTCTTCATCACAACAGGTTAATTTTAGAATTTATAACAAATATAAATGTGGTCAAATCACTTTAGCAACAATTAGCAACAATTAGTCACAGAGCCTAGGAGTTAATTACTCTTCTACCCACAACATATTTTTAGCTCCACCTTCAAGGCATTTGTTTCTCCATCAGGAGAGTTTAGTTTGCTTTCTTGACAGATAATTTATGAGCAATATTTGTAGTCCCTTAATTGCCCACTGTGCTTTGTGTGTTTTGTGTGTGTGTGTGTGTTATATTTGCTGTGTGTTAAGGGTGAATCAACCACTTAGCAGTAATTGTGAGGAGCCCCAGGTCTTTGTTGTGGCTCTGTGCACTGGAAAACACACGTAGGTCAACTTGCAAAACTGTTTGGTTTGTCGAGTCACAGGAAATCGATTTAGAGGCTGACGTGTTCACCTGATGTTTGCCACTTAAGTCAATTGTTAACGCATTGACCCATTTTGGGGAACATTGTGCTCGTGTGCTTTCTTCTCCGTCCTGAGGCTTTCAAAGCAGCGATGATATGAATTGACAACTTCTGGGTAAACAGTCGTTTTTATGAAAAGAGAAATCAACAATTCTCATTTTTGGTTATTTCCCCCCCATTGAATTAAAGTGTTTACTGTTAGGAAGTTGTAATCAATTTTTCTGATCAGCTGTGGAACAACAACAACAACAACAAAAAAATCCCTACATATAGTATAAATAACTGTTATTCTGGGGTCGTGGGAAACACTGGGGGTCAGCTCAAAATTGCAGTTTGAAGTTTTTTGGACATCACTGAAGCTACATAGATCTGCAGAATTGCACTGAGCCCCTGAGGTTGACTCCACAGTTTATGCTTTATGGTAGGATCGAATGTTTGTTGTAGAACAACTGAAAACCCTGTTGTGCCTCAGGTCCAGTTTCAGAGGAACTCACAGCGTAAACAAAGGTAGAACTAAATATTTTCCCCATTGATTTTTCCTTCTACTTCTTTTAGCTGTTCACTTTAGGAGCTGATAATCTCCTCTCTCGTCTCCTCTACTGTTACACAAACCATTTCCTTGTCCTCTTTGACAACATCCAAACATCTTCTCTATAGTCTACCCCCATTCTCCTGCCTGGTAGCTCCATCTCCAACTTCCTTTCTCCAATATATATTAAGTATCTCTCCTCTCTAACTTTGTTTCCAAACTGCTCCACCTTGACTGTCCCTCTGATCCTCTTTTGTACACTGTCCACTACTCCATACGATTGACCCTGGAGACTTCACCTTCACGACTTCTACATCTTTATCTTTTCCACTCGCCTCACTCTTGTTTACACACATATATTTTTTTTTTCTTGCTCCTGCTGACCTTCATTCCCCTTTGCTCCAAAGCAAACCTCCAGCTCTGCAGGTTTCCGTCTACCCCAACCTGCTCCCCACCTTCACCATAGATTAGAATGCAAACATCATGGTCTGTGCAGCCTCCTGCCTGACCTCCTCTGTCAACATAGACTACATCGCTACAGCAAACAAAAAGACACCGTTGTCACCCCGACAGAACACAAAACTACTGTTATGCTGGTGTAGTGTATGCATGCCCTGCACCACACTCATGTACTTCTCTACCACTCCTGATTGTCTCATACAGTACCACAGAACTTGCATCTGTAGTACTTTCCTAAACAAAACAAACCGGCCTGCTGCTCTACGACCTGTAGGTGTCCCCTTATCTCGATTCAACAACTCCTTCCCGTACCTTCATCGTATGACTGACCAACTTTACGCCTCCAGTTCCCAAATGAAAAGACTTTGGTTGGCTCTTTTAAATAGCACTATGTTTGTGAAGGCAGGTACAGTTCAGTAGTTGATGTTCTGGGTTTGGCAACACGATGGTGAGGTCGTCAACATTGACGTTCTTGGTTTGAGTCCTGCTTGCGGCCAAAGTGTTGTAAGTCGTCAAATGGACGGTCAAATTTGTCTTCATTAAAGTTACCTTCTGAGGAGCAGAGTCCAAATGCATTTTATTTGAATTTTAGTGTTTTAATGAGCATGTCTGGACAAATGTTGGTTTTCAATTTTCACAGTGTCTGTCAGTGAGATATAAATGAGCTGCACCTTTGACTTTGAAATTGGCCAACAGGCCTGGACCTGAAGGGTCAGACATGTTGATATTCTAGGTTTGTGCTGACAACATGGACCGACTTCAAGCTGAAGGAGAGGAAAATGTTCACGTCTACAAACAAATGGAATTTCAGGTTCACAACATAAAGAAATGGTGGCATGAATTTACACTGATATTTGGACCAATTATTTGTGATGGAAGTGTCGATAATATTGATAATATTGATTACAAGATAGAAAATGCACAGCAAAAATATCTAACTTTTCAGTTCCAGGGCTCTGCTAAACAAAACATTATTGATCTATGATGTGATCAGAATAATCCAGTCGGTGAGGAATTGGACACACGATTTAAACATGTTCTGAAATGTTTTCTGTTTTGCATTACTTTTCACATAGTTTTCTGTAACTCCAAAATAGTAAACAAAAAATGCAAGAAAAAAACCCTGCAAAACCAAGTGTCCTAATCAAGGAATTGATTTTTTTTTCAGCATTGATTTTCTCAGCTGGAGTGAGGAAGATGCGGTGAATCCTGCAGTTTCCAGACAGCGCTGCAGTCATTTACAGACGGGTTTATCTGCAGCAACCTCTAATTACGGTAACAAGCTGCTGGGGCTGCGGTCACTCAGCAACCTTAAACAAACTAGACAGGCACGACGGACAACATTTGGTTGAAAATGTTGAATCTAAGTGAAGAGTAGCTTGTTAACTCGTGCTTTGAAATGCAGGGCTTCATGTCATTTTTTTAAATCTGCATTTTACACATTTTTTAAATCTTCTCCCTGCACCCAAAAACAAACTTCATGTTTTTGACAAATTTCTCGACCTCTTACATATTTTTACACAACCTAATTAAACTTCAGCACCAGCAGCAATTTTAAATTAACAGAATATTTTGCTTTTCTTTTTTCTTTTTTTGCAAACAACTGTTGGCCATTGAATGAAGAAGTTCTGGTGTCAGAGCAGCTTTTACTGAATAAGGTGAAAAGGAAACACAGTGTGGTATGTTTTTATCTTATTTATCAGGATAAAAAAAATCAACTTTCAAAAAACTCTTTTCACTTTATTCTCTCTGTTAATATGGTTGAATTATTATGGTCTACACCAGAGAATCTGTGCAAATATTTTCTTTCCTTGTTGTGGATGTAATTTCTCATGACTTCTGTATGTTGTCCAGTTCATGTGTTCACAGGAAAAATCAACATTTAAACAAATTTTTCCATACCTTGAAATCAGTTAAAGGTTACAGACAAAAACCATCAGTTCTTACAATCTAAACAGACCGACAGCCTCAAAGTCAGCAGGGATTCATCCAGCTGCAGATATGTTTGTAAAAAACATGCAGGTGGATGTATGTGTGTGTATATATGTATATATGTATATGTATATATATATATCTACCTAGACTCTCCCAGCAGTGGTTATATCACACAGGTCATAGAAAAGCTGCACTTACACGTCAGTTCTGTTAGAGGTGGTTCATAGTATAAACAGAGAGACTATAACTTACTCTGCTCAGTACTGGACACTGTTGCGTCTCCATAAACATAAAAAACATAAACATGGGCATAATAACTCAGACTAATGCCTTGTTTATTTTAAAAATTGTTCAACATATATATTTTTATACAAAATATTTAGTGATAAATCTGCTAGTCACGGTGCATGAACTGTACAAATGTGTTGTTCAAACCTCAGCACTGTCTGCTGTTTATTTTTACTCCATAATCATCGATTTCGAAACGATCCGTCTTTGCGTGATCATATCTCGCAGATAAATTATGCACAGCTCAGCCGATGATTCAGTTTTATTGCTGAACAGTAAAGATCCTTTAACCTGGTGTTTTATGAGAGCAGTCTGCAGCAGGTTCTCTGGGCAGCTCACTGCTGGAGGTGGCAAAAACAACCCAGACTTTAAATCAATACCTGGTCAAATGAAGAAAAACAAGAAATCAAAGTCACAGAGTTAATACTTACAAACTTTTTTTTTTTTTTTTTTTAGCTCTGCTGCCTGAGGCTCCTCACAGGAGGGCTCCCACGGTCATTTGCAACTGTTATCTAATTAAAAATGAGTAGTTAAAAACAAGAAAAAAAGCAAGAACTTGAATGTTTCTGCTTCAGTGTGTGTGTACCCATATTTGATGTAATATTAATATTTGACTTCAAACATGTTTCAGTAATATGCCTTTTTAGCCAATTTAGAAAATATATCTACGTTCCAGGGGAGAAATCATTCACAAGACTGACATCGGTGGTCGTGGGAGTCCAGCGCTAGTTTCATACATTACTAATAAAATAATAAGATGCCAGACCACATGTTCAACGTGGACACGACGATAAAAACATAGACGTTTCTTATTTCACCACTAATTGATTCCACCAAGATAAACACTCACAGTTTGACAGATGAAGGCTTGTAGACAAAAATAACCACTTCACTGAGAGCGTGACAGCCACTTAGGTTCATGAGTGACCCCGGAACGTCATCAAACATTACTTTGAACATCAGTTAAGACACTGGATGTCGCGTGAATGAAATGTAAGAATCAAAGCGCAGGCCTTTCAATTACATTTGAAGGCTGTAACCGTTTTACACTCCAGAAACATAACGACTACACTGTGTCAAAAGGTGAGTTCTGAGTGAAATAACATTGCCTTAAGCGAATGGCCCCGCCCCTAGAAGGTGTTAGAGAGGAGCAGCAGCTCACTGTGAAACGGAGGGACTCTGCAGCCTCCCCTCCTGCCCCCCCCCACAACCCCTGCCTCCCCGCCCCAGCACTGCATCTCTGTGACACTGACCCTCAGTCCATACTTTATGAAAGACAGACACAGAGTCTCTGACTCCACATATCGCTCCCACTAAATATGGACCGTTTCATCTCACTCTCATCTCACGTCGAACATCGTG